AAAGCATATTATAAATTTAATTAAGCGAGATTTGGATGCAGCCCCAACTCAGATTGTGTCAAAAGAAGATGGATACTTATTCCATTAGAATTTGCTTTGAAATGACAATGCCTACTACACTGACTTACCAGAATCTTGCAACCTTTCCGCAACCTTCAATGGGGCTAACCTGATTGTGTACTATGAGGGGACAAAAGCTTCAACAGAGAAGTTTAAAGCTCCTCCAATCTTGCGAAACTAACGTCGGACGCTACGCCCTGTTGCAAGACATGAGCCGCAGCTTCCACGACTGCAATAAGACCAAACAGACCTCTTTTTTTTCTTTATATTTTTTGGAAAGTTTTATTTTTTCATTCATTCTAGTCATTTCCTATACATGTGTTGAATTAGAGTTTAGATTCTTAATTATTTTAGTATTATATCGAGACAGTCGTCGGCATCTAATTTCCCTTCGAGGATTGTATCTAAAGGTTTGGGTAGTGCTCCGGTTGTATCTCACTCCCAATGTGGTGAGTATCTTCCTTATTTCCCTTTTGCATCCTCCCCACATCGCGCTCAGCCGCCCATTTCCAATTGCAGCCACCCAAATAGCCATATACCATTGCTTTCCTGCAATTTCCCACTTTTCTCGACAACCTCCATCACAAACAATCATCTTTTCACTGTCTTGGAGTCCACCACACCCCACATCGTTGTAACCACCCTCCTCCATTGTTGTCACAGTCCAATAGCACTTCCCCTGTTGTTTGGCCACCATCTAGCCCCTTGTCGTCGCTGCCACCACCCAGAACAGCCCACATTCTCGCTATTTTGACAGTTTCTCACATTCCCTTTGCTGCCAACATCACCCCCTTGTCGCTGCGCCACCATCCAGCCTTCTAAACACCCTTTACTACCTCTCTGGTGGTCCAAACCCTCGCTGATCACCACCACCACCCCAAGATCCACCTTAGTTTGAGCTAGTGTTATTAATTGTTGCACTTTCAAATTTGTGTCGTGTTATTATTGTTCCACCTTTCAGGGTGTTGGTTATAACTGCCTATTGATTTTTCCAATAACGATATTTGTTTGCTTATTGTCGTTTGGGTTAACTCGGGTATCACATATACTCATCAAATACTACATTTTTAATATGACATTGTTTCAATAATCACTACATATTTCAAGACTTTACTATGTAGAAGGCGATTAGATAAATTAGAGAAAATGATACACTGTATTTACTTAAAAGAAAACAGTCACTTATAATGCAATTGAACCATCATTGTAGATTACAGCATCTATTTAAAATCCTATCATAATCGGTTCACAAAAGATGGGTTACATTTTGTGACCACCATGACAGATTAGGGCATCAATATTTTCCTTGTATAGAAGAGGTTCTCCCAATAAAAAAAATATTATGAATTTTTTGAGAGAAACACAACAATTGATTGCATGTCACATGAAACTCCAACTAAACTAGATAAAAAATTGGGCACAAATGGAGTAGAAGTTAACATCGGACAATATGAAAGATTAGCTACAAGACTAATATATCTATCCAATACTTGTTGTAGCATCATTGTTGCAGGAAGTTACACAAGTCATTTATGCACAAACAAAAAAAATCTCACAATCAAGCGGCTTATATTATTCTCGAGTATCTAATCAAATCTTGAATATAAGATTATGTGTAAGAAAAATATTACCCACTACAAATTGAAGGTTATATTGATATTGATTATGCAAGATCACAATGAACAAAATATCCACTTCAAAATATAGTATACTATTGAGAGAAAATCTAATAAAATTGAGAAGCAAGAAATAATATGTTTCAAGTTCAAGTATAAAATTTAAATTCAAAGAAATCGCTTTAAAAATATATGTGGACTCCTATAAAGAAAAATTATATTAGAAAATTTTGAAACTAAATGGTAAAGACTTGTAAAGATATACCATGACAACAAGTATGTCATTTAGACTGTTATTAATCCAGTGCAACATAATCAAATCAAACATGTAGAAGTGGATAAAATTTTAATGAAAATAGAAATTAAAAAGTGGGTTAATTTATTCTTTTTATGTAAAAAAAGCCAATTAATCAGTAAATTTATCAATGAACTTTGTAATCCTACATTTATGACTATTATAAGCAAACTCAAAAGAGTGGAACTCTACCATTCAATTTGACATCAAGTGTTGAGACTACCTAAGGAATGATGGAATTGGCATAAATAAGGTAATGAGCTATGGATTCATGTGCTAAACAAGAAAATGCATGTGACACAAATCCGTGTGCAAAGAAGAGAAGAGTTATAGATTGGTCAAAACGATTGAAATAGAAAGACAACAAAATCAAACAGGACAGACATCGAATAAGCTATACAAGAAAATTAGACAAATTTTTTTTTATTTTTAAGTTATTGTAATTGATATTTTCCTTAATATTTCATGGTTTTTATTTATTATTTAGATAGCTTTTAATGTATAAATACCCGTTGGATGAATGTACAACAAACCTAACTTTACAACCATTTTCTTTTATAGATCATGTCTAGTTGGTATTTATACATGCAAGCTCATAATTCTTTTATTCTTTTTTTGAAAAAAAAATATTTTTTACTGGTGTTTCTTTGATATATTAAAAGATATTGTATGATGTATGAAGAAATGTTTTTTCCTGATTATACATTGGCTTAGAAATCTTGCAACATATGCTATCTATGGTCTTGTGTAGGCAAGATAGATAAACTTCTCCGATTAATCTTTCATATCTCTATTTGTCAATATTTCGATCATTATCTACTTTTTTAAGCGTGTGATGAAAGTTACTTGGAACTTTTGAGTACTTAAAATTAAATAATATATTTTTTTAGATGAATATCCCAAAGTTTGAGTGGGCCACTTCAATTCCAATGAAATATTTTAGTTTTATCACATCATTTACTTCAAAATCCTTGGATTATTGAATATTAACTTTTCTTATTTTTTTCAAAATCATCTCCTCTTACTATCATGCCACAAACATAAAAGAGCAACAATTTTGCCTTCATTGGATTTCTTTATCAATAGAGCATGATTTCAGAGACGTATTTGAAGCTCATCATTTCCATTGTGTTATTGAAATAAATAAAACATAATCACAATAAAAATGTAATAATATTGCTAAAATTGCAATGAGTTGCAAACAACGACACTTGACAATAGAAAATTAACAACAAAAATACCAAAGACACCTCCGAGTGACGACGACGTAGGCGGGTTGCAGGTCTCAAGGCAGTGGAGCTCGGTAGCTGAGGGAGAGGAAAAGGCTAGATGTGGTGAGGTGGTGATAGTCGGGTGGCTGAACAACAGGTGGGGATAGTGTGGAGGCAGTGTTGGAAGGCTCCAACAAGGAGGGGTGCAAAGGAAAGGTTAACGAGATGATGGGTGGGTAGTTGTGTGGAGACTGCGGGAGGGAGAGCTGGCATCACGAGGGTTGGGCTGCTGTGTGAAGGCAGTGGCAGGTATGGCTGACAAGATGAGGACTGGATTGTGTGGAGGTTGAGGCAGGGAAGGTTGGTGGTAGGAAGGCCGAGAAGAAAGGAGGACGAAAAGGCAACAGGAGGAATGTATGAGCAATGGCAACAAGCAGAAAAATAACACATACACACCAACTCAAGACGAATTACATATGGAGCATCTTCTCACCGTCAGAGATAGCTTTAGAAGGGAAAAGGGGGATGTTGACAACTGTCATAACAACAAAATCTACAAAAACTGAACATAAAAAGAAAATAACAAATATATATAATAGAAAACTAGGAGGGGAAGGCCCCTTCCCTTGGGCGGCAATCCTAGTCCCCATATAAGAGGCGGTCGGCTCGTTCCCATCTTAGCTAAAATGGTCCTTCGTTTTCAACCAGTGAAGCCCCTTAAAAAGCCCCGCGCCAGTTTCTCGATGTTGGGAAATCTTCGAATTCATTCATCGAAGCTTCTAGCTCTTTGTTTGGCGTCCTAGCAACACATGAATCACACTGTCGGTTGCATTGTCTCCCAAAGTAATCCAAAGTCGGCCCAACCTAATATGAAGTCGGAGTAATTTGAACATTTCTGATCAGTGGTGGTCATAGTGGTAAGATATCAATCGTGAAGTCCTGAAATGCTCTTTGTCATGCTTGTCCCATGCCTGAAGCTGGTGTCTTTGAGTTTATAGGGCTCAATTCTGCTTACGTTTCATAAAGGATAAAGTGTTTAATGTTTTTAACACAGCAGTTCTCCCTTATTCACTTCTAATAATCGAAACGACTTCATTTAGGTTGAAAAGTAAACCTTTTACAATTATCTAAATGTGTAAATTGTCATATTCAATATTTTAATTCAGCCGGGAATTCATAAATTATTTATTTTTCTATAAAATTTATAGCAATGCAGCATCTTCACAGCATCTCATTTTATTATATTCGTAGCAATCAAGCTTGAGTCGCATATCTTTTATTTTATTATATAATTCAATAACCAGACAAATACCTATCTAGGTGGTGTGAATTTGTCTTGATCCCATGACTAAGGTGGAATCAATTATTTTAAAAAATGTTTGTTTCTAAGCATCTCATATATCATTACTTCTCCGATCGCAGTTATATCCTCAATAACATAACCAATATGACTACTATCATAACCAATTCTATTGGCTATTGCAATGCAAAAGCTTATGTAAAGGCCAACAATAATGGTAATTTAAATTAGCTATAAATCCTAACAGTTCATCCAATTATTCCCACAATCATGTGTACAATTTATTATGCAATTCAACTTAAAGATCATAACCACTAACTACATTTACAACATGCTCACTAATAATTGAATTAATATTAATCAAGCAATCACTAATAAGTTTCACCTCGACAATTTAATAAATCTATTCTCTATTTATTCTATCCATGCAAACCTCCCTCATGTCGGTTTAAGATCAAAAAACAGTGGAACGGGGAATCAAAACTGGAAATCTAAAGCTTTTAAAAAAGAGATGTGATTTAACATACCTGCAGATCTCCAATGGCTTGATCTTCAGCATCCTCCCAGTTGGGAAACTTGTCAAATAAATGTTCAATCAACATGCCAAACTGTAGAAAGTAAAAAAGTGTAACATTCGACCCTTCAAAAGGAAGATCAATATAAGAAAATTCAATAAAAAAAATAAATAATGAATGCCAAACTACAAAACGGTTTAACAGCAAACATTAAAAGAGTACAAAAAATGAATCTATTCTTTAAAAACAAAAAAAAATGATTTAGAAAAAATACATGTCATAAGGGAAGGTCAAAGCTAAAATTATCGTTTAATCAAGACAAGTAACACGCACATATAATTCATGTTGCACTCCAAAAAAAAAGGCCATAAAAATCTATAAGTTGACAGATTAGCATTCACATTTATAAAAATTATATTCTACTGATAACTGACAAATCAAGAAGATAAAATAGCATTCATTCATTTTGTAAAGAATGTTGAATGCCTCATTTAATACTCCAAAGGTTACAGAATACTCACTTGTTAAGTACCAAAATTGCTACAACAAAGTTACGCATTGAGAGAAAAGATTAGAAGTGCACAATAAAATTAAAAAAATGACTTTATTTTAACCAGGATCCCAACAGCTTTTTGGAGCACTATTTGGTAACAAGTTTTTTGAGACAATCACATGACATGGAAATACAAGCACGGAATATACGTTCCTACGATGCTGAAGAGAGAGTAACATTAAAAAGACGATATCAAAACCAAGTACAAAAAAGCCATAATCTCAACATATACGAAAACGAAACAGTGAGAATAATGGTGAAAGATAATTATACATAATATTCATAGATTTTACATATATGTTTAAATTAATGGGTTATAAAGAAACAAATGCATCCACCCTTTGGAGTAAAAAAGAACCAAGCGAATGGATATTATTACCTATGATTAAACTATTTGATGAAATTGCCAAAACAACGTAAGTACGAACAAGCATCATTCTAAATTCATCATAAAAACATAAGCAACAAAATACTTCTAAAAATCAGTTAAACAAAAGTAATTACCTGAGTTCCCCAATCACCAACATGGTTTCGTCGAAAAACCTCAACATTTGAAAATTCCAACATTCGAGAAAGCGTGTCCCCAATAATTGTGGATCTTAAGTGGCCAACATGCATTTCTTTGGCAATATTAGGAGAAGAGAAATCGACCACCGCTCTCTTAACCGACAAAATTGGCGCCCATGCATCAATGCCATTTACGAGCATATTTTGTATGTTCTGCATTAAAAATTTAGTTAATCATGAAAAGTTGTAGATTAATCATGGAAAGTTGTAGAGATTTATGTGATACTTGTAAAAGATTTTTTCAATTCCTCAAAACAAACCTGAGCCACCCATTTGCTAGATAAAACAATGTTCACAAACCCAGGTCCTGCAACAGAGGTAGACTCAATAATATCCGATGGAGGTAAATGTCTGGAAATGGCCTGCAAAAGACACAGTTTAATAACCATTTTTAATGCAAAAATAATGGAGAATCTTGTTCAAATAGCACAGAAATTATCACTTTGATCTTAGAGAAAATTTCATAGCACCTGTCCAACTGAATTCGGATTTTTAAATGCTGCTGATTTTCCTTTGATCTTAGAAAAAATGCTCATTGCATTATTACTGCATCATTTAAAAAACAGTTTTTCACTATGAATGAAGTCATGATATGAGAATTATATAGCAAAAAAATACCACCAGGCCACTAGTATAAAAAATGCGAGCATATAGGTTAAAAAATAGTATTTTACACCATAAAGTTGAGCAACTGTTAAAAGGCCAACCATTGGTAATCACCAAATTTAGCAGTGCAGACAGCAATTAATGGCTCCAAATTTGATTCTTCAGGAAATAATACTTTAAGCGATCCTTCAAACAATTTTGCTAGTTGTTGCTTGACACTTCCAGTAAGCCGGCCATGGTCCAACTACAATTGAAATAGAAAACAACATAAGATGTAATGAGATGGTGAATCCATAAAAACAAGCCTGTAAATGATATTCTTTACTGCGCCTTAAGAAAATGTATATAACCTATGTTAACCCCCATAGAGCTCTCAGTTATCACAAATGAACACATATCATTATTAAATAAGAGTAATCTGTAAGTAAAGCTGCTAAAAGACATCATATTAACTAATATTAACAAATCCACCTCTTTTTTTGTATGTATTGAGAAACAAAATAGATATATAACATAAATATCAACAAAAGCAATGCAGTTCAGTTGACAAAGAACTGGATATGGTACTTGTAAGTAAGTGTAAAACTGGAAGATAAGAGCGTCTATTCCAAAACCAGTCAAGCAATATTGGTAAAAAAAGATTTACAGACATGCCACTCAATTTCTTTGTATTTATTCAAAAAGGCTCGACCTAAGTTAGCACTAAAATCAGGTATTTGGTGATGAAATTTTGCTTAAAATTTAATCTTCCTATTTCTAAATATTTTGGCATTGTTGATTCACTATTGTATTTTAATATGAGTACTATAAATAACTAGTCAATTTAGGGTTTTTTATCTAGAGCCTTCAGTTGGTCCTCTACCAGTGATATTTATGTGGACTTAAGGGTAGCATTTGATTCAAGTACACACCTTGAAGCGGTGATTTTTACCTTCTAGCGATAAACATAACCTAATGAACATAACCTTCCAAGTTAGCCAATTGTTATAAAATTAACTTGTATTTACTACATGGATTATCATGCTTATCTTTAAGTAGTTATTATCTTAGGGTATGTAAGTAATTTTATGTACTAGATACTACTGGTATGGTTCTCCTTAGCCTGATTGTTGCTACGTATATTAAATATTTACAAAATGAGCATTGAAATAACATAAATAATTTGTATAATTTCCTTTCCTATAATGTTAACTCTTGCATGCGCTATAATCTATACATAGATTATTTCAATCATTGTTTCATGCTAAAGACATAACAAGTACAAAAATTAAATTGATGTGCTTGATGAAAGTAATCATCAATTGTACCCTTAGATTGCTATGTTATTACTTAGCCTTACTGAATCTATGTATAGAGTGAGAATTCTCTAGAGAGGGCTCGTTAAATTAGTTAGGTTGATGACAACCTTCCCTTTAAGTTCAGGGAATTACGAGACTTCAATAGGTAATATATAATATTGTCAAAAGGAAGTTGTTGATAACTTCTTCATATATAATGTGGTTGCAAATGCTCATTAGTTCTTCAGCATTTATTTAAATTAGTCATGCTTACTATTACTTAATTATTACTATTTCAAGTAATCTTTGTTATATAAGATCAATCCGGTAAAAGAAATAATTGAAGTTATTGTAGACATAGAATGCCATTTTTTAATTATCATAGCATACATGCATCTCAAGGATAGACATTTGTGTGTTAATACGTAGAAACTAACTATTGATTTTCCTTGAAAGCTCATTCCATATGATTAATGCAAAACACAACCAATTTCAATAGAAAAGCATTATTGTAGGAGCAACTTCATAAGCATTCGATTTTATTTGAGGAGAGGAATAAGTTAATTCTTCAGTATTTTTTGTATTAGGAACATGTTTAGTTTTCCATTTGTAATTTGTTTCCTTACTTTCATTATGTGGATAAATTTAGTTTCCTTGACGGCAATTTGCAAATAGTATTATTCCATTAATAAAATTCAACTCTATATCTCCTATTATAATGAAGTAAGGATAACAACTTTCTTTCTTTGTGAAACAAAATTACCATGTTAAATCCAATAACATTAGAAGAAATGAGTTCATTTTAATCATCAAGAGACTGAGTTTGAAATTTCAGATAATGTATATCTTGAGATTCATCTATTAGGGACGATATAAGATTTAAGAAGGGTAGAAAACTTCAATATTTATTCTATTTAATGTGATTGAGATAGCAAGAAAGATTTCATAGCTATTAGCTCTTCCAAGAGTTGTACGAGTGCATGATATTTTCACATATCTTTCTTCTGATGTTAAGTTCATAATGAATGGCAACTCATTCAGCATGAACAGCTACTAATTCAAGTAAATATAAACAATGATGAAACAATGAACATACCATGGATTATCAGTTTTCAAAGGACTGTCGTCAATCTACAACATTTGCCAAAATATTTTGAAAGAATTATTCAAAAGAGGAAACATCATCATATCTAGCACATGCAATTATAAATTCAATCTGACGCCACCTATTATGAGCATCTACTCCAAAAGATCACTCTTCGGAACTTAAGGCCATTGCATAGGATCAATAAGTACCTTGCACTTATAATTTCACTTAAGGCCAGAAGAATAAACTCAATTTCATGCATGCCTAACACTGTTAAATCTGCTATTATCATGGAATGAAATAAGTTTTATTTAATTAACTTCTAAAATTTATCGAATGAGTTACGGATAAGTTTCTTAATCATAACAATGTCTCTGCGGTATACGGACTTCCCTGCCTAAGGTGTTACATGCTAAAAATCAATCTGTTATGGTAACACAATATCACAATAATTACCACAAAAATACTGCACAAAAAAGCCAGAGTAGATTGAATTTTAGAAAATAAGAGAATCAATTGAATCATTAAGAACTTAAGAGAATCATACACTCGCAATAAAAATTTGACAACAAGGATGAAGAAGGCAGTCACTCACAGTTTCTGCCACTCCACCTGCCAAGGCGAAGGAGCGGAACTGATGGTATCGCCGCTCATGGCTGCACACAGAAGTGTCTCCTTCGTAGAAACAGATAGTTTAGAAGATATCCGTAAGAAACCTGCCTAATTTTACAGTAACCACATAAAATCAGTTCATTGCCATGCTCTACTCAATCATATAACAGCAGAAGAATTAATAAACAGAAAAAAAAACTTCTTTCAGTATGCCTTCTTCAAGCTTTGATCTTTGGATGCTGATCATTAAAATTAAATTAACATCTCTATTTTAATCAATACCCATTAAAAATTTAAAATTTATTAAAAAATGCCTCTCCTTCTCTCCCACCCAAAGCACCGAACGCCTAGAGGCGGCGTTGATAGGACAAGCGGCGAGCACCGTGCGAAGATAAAAGGAATATTCTGACAAAGAAGAAACGACTACAGTCCTTCGCGCATTTCAGTATCTCAAATCCTGTAAATCTCCCTATCAGTCGGATTTACTGAATCCGAGATTCACAGCAAGAAGAAAGAGAAACGGGATGTAGGTTGAACCCAAGTTAATCCTGAAAGAAATGCTCCATAGAAGGGAAGATAGAGCAAAAGTGCGGGAGCTTTCCTGTGCAAAAAAAAAACATGAAGAGGAAAAATGCTTACGAGGAGTGCGTGTGTGGCGACTGAAGGGAAGAAGCGGAGAGGGGAGAAGAGAAAGAACAGCAGAAGTTAATCTCATAAAGAGAATTCGCTTCCCTCCAATTTGGTTTCTAGGGTTAGGAATCCATTTGGTTTAGGTGCAAAGCCCTTGGCCTTCTGGCCAACTGGCCTAGAATTTGGAAAATGCATGAGACGGGGTTTCTATGGAATAAGATACATATGCCCTGTCATTTTAGGTGCAATTACATAAATGGTACTTAAAATTTTTCTATTTACAAAACTAGCACTATATATATATATATATATATAAAATTATCCATCCTATTTATAATAAAATAAAATAGAAAAAATAGCCCTTTTTTGTAAATAACAAAAATTTATGTGTTATTTATGTAATTATCTCTTTAAATATTTTTTTAATTAGTAAATTTATTTAATAGAAATAAAAAACAAAGGTATTAAAAAATACACTAATTTAAAAAGGAAATATAAGGCTATGCAATTGTCGAACTCCATATCACTTGCAACACATATCTTTTTAGATTACACTCTTTTTTAGATCTAGTAGAATACATTAAGAATTATGATGAGGATACATGCATACGAACCTTACTGTCCAAAAAAGTGATAGTGATAAAGAAATACAAATCAGAAACAATGTGGAAATCACTCTTAAAAATTCTATCAAAGAGTGAACAAAATAAAAGAACAAGGCGGAGAAATGAAATCGAAGTCATAAGGTACGTTCATTGCATACTCAATAACACTTTAGGTGCTGAGGAAATTTCATAGCTTCTTTTCAAATGAAGCATTGTACTTTTGGAATCTTTATCATTTCCATCATCACTCTGAGACCACATAACTGAAGTAGTACCTTCCAT